ACCCCACCACCAGGTCTACAAACCCCGGAACTTCCTTGGGCACCGGCCGTGAAACAGACCTGGTTGTGAGCCCTACCTGGCTGCGAGGGCTCTGGATTTGGACCCGAAATGATTCGAATCGCGTTTTGGAGGGCTTCAGATGATTATTATGATAAGGAGCCCTGCAAAGTAGTGTTAGCAGTTCTTCAAGCCTCTATATCAGGGTCACCGCACAACCTGGTGGTCTGTGAGGAGCGAAGGCCAAAACTTGGGTTGTGCACTCTAGAGCCACTGAACCGTTTCTTTCTTGAGATATGGGGTTTAAGGATTAGGGTTAAAACCCTAAACCCTAAACCCTAAACCCTTAACCCTAAACCCTAAACCCTAAACCCTTAAACCCGAAACCTTTCAGCTAGGGTTTAGGGTTGGGGGCCTAGGGTTTAGGGTTTGGGGCTTCGAGGTGTGAGGTCGGGAGGATCTCAGGTTCCGGGCATGCAGGGTTTAGGGGGAATGCAAGGGTCTGAGTAATTTGTAATACTGTTCCTTATAAAGTATATTATAGTGTATCATAATAATTGTCTTTCAGTATTTCATTGTGTGTTGAACTGGTTCGACCGATTCATATCCTGTTATAGTAGATTAGGGTAAATTCCTCAGCGCGCCTGAGTACCATAGCATAAGATGTCTGCATATCGGAGGCTAAGTCATCCTGGTCACGTACCCCCACCCTCTGGAGGTTCTAGGAAGTAGTACGAGTTAAGCGCCGCCCCCACTGTAGGGGGGCGGGGGTTTGAGTTTAGAAGCGCCTCGAAGGGATAAACTGTTTGGATCCTCACTTCTTGCCCCCTAAACCCTAAACCCTAAATTATCCTCTTCCAGAGATCCAACGGTCGGGTCTTCTGGGCACTGTGATGGGCTTAAGGCTTAGGGTTTTGGGATTTGGGTATAAGGTTTAGGATTTAGGGTTGAAGGATTTGGGTTTAGGGTTTAGGGTTCAGGGTTTAGGGAGTTGGGTTTAGGGTTTAGGGAGTTGGATTTAGGGTTTAGGGTTCTTTGCGGTTAGGGCTAAGGGTTTAGGGCCCAAGCCTCGTATACTCCTGGTGCAAGTTGTCCAAGGTAAGAGCGGGTGCGTACAGCGAAGTGGTTGACGACCATATTGGGCAACAGCGCGTCGGTGTCATCGACCGCATCTTAACTTAAACGTTGCGTGCTTGTCCGACTTAATCCGAAAGCGTGCCCGGACGGTTAGAGCCAACAGCAACAACAAGATAAAGTTCCTTCGCAAAATCGACTTTCGGGCCTTCAACAAAGCTCCCTGAACAGAGGGCTTGCAAGCCTCAACGTAAAGCCCAACTAAGCCCTTAACCCCAAGCCCCCTATCCCAACAATCGAAAGCCTCAACCCGAACCCTAAGCTCAGAACCCCTAATTGCCAAGCCACCGCAAACGCCGCAAACACCCCAAGCGGCCCAAGCCCCTCAACCCCAAAGCCCATGATTCCAAGACCCTTCACAACCCTGCAGCCCTATTTACTTGGAGGATGAAAGAAAACCCTAAACCCGAAACCCCCTAACCAAGCTCTAAGGCTTACCTGTAAAATTCTACTTATAATACATAGAACCGACTCCCCAGTCGTTCCGGGTCCTTCAGGTAAGCCGTACCTCCGAAGTCCTCTTTGACCCTGAACCAAAACGCGAAAACCCATTAAGACCAACAACCGTGGCCCTTAAGCTCCAAAACCCTCAAAGAGCCCCAACCCCGAAACCCTAAACCCAAACCCTAAATCCTTAAGACCCTAAACTCTAACCCCCAAACCCCTAAGACCCTAAACCCCAAACTCAAAACCCCTAAACCCTCAAGGCCTGAGGGAAGAAGCTTTCCTGCCAGGGCAGGCGACCGCAGGAGGTTGGAGAGCTCTCGGGCGCGAGGCTGCACCTGGGACCCAGAAAGTCTTTTTTGAGGGCCATGTAGGGTTTAGGGTTTAGGGTTTAGGGTTTAGGGTTTAGGGTTTAGGGTGTAGGGTAGAAGATACATGAAAAGTCCACACAGCAACGCCCCACATATGCAGTCATGACGATTCCGAAGGCGCTCGACATACACGCATCAAAACCCGTAGCATAAGCACCATCTTACCAGGCCCAGTATGTCGGAAATCGTAAATTCAGCACAACCATATGATGAACGGTATACGCTAAAACCCTAAACAAAAAAACCCAACATATGATGCACCCTAAACCCTAAACTCTTCAAGAACTGCCAAGAGATTATTGGCCTTGTCCTATATGGCTGAATGGAGCCGAGCTGGGCTCTGGGGCATATTTGAGAGCACGGAGCTTTGGGATTCAGGGTTTAGGGTTTAGGTTTAGGGCTTAGGGGGTTTAGGGTTTAGGGGTTTAGGGTCTAGGGTTTAGGTTGAGGGTTTAGGGTTCAGGGTTTAGGGTGGAGGGTTCAGGTTTCGGGTGTAGGGAAATCCAGATGCGTTTGATTCAGGAGGGTGCCGTCTCAGGCCTTGGCCCCCGCGCGCTTGGGAATCCGGGTTGGGACTTGGTGTTTGGTGCCGGTGTCGTCCTATACAATCAATTATGCTAGAAACAAGGAACCTGATTCAGAAATCTTGGGTCTGTATTAGGGTTCTTTATGTGAAGCCTTGTATTTTGGAGGTTGTTCAGGTTCTTACATTAATATACCCGAAGACTGATCCTGATGAGGGCAGGCCGTCGCAGTGCAGAGTTTTCGGGTTTAAGGGTCCGTTCTTCGAGGCTGCTCGCTAGGGCAAAAAATGCTACGAGGTCGTGCCCTCGCGCCCGTCACCCCGCACCTCAAACCCTCAAGCACACGCCCCCGAAACCGTAAACCATAGTCATAGAGCCCTGTATAGAGCCATCAAAGGTACCAGGGCACGGACGCCCTGACACCCTAAATCTCAAATCCCACTTGGAGGGAGGGTCGGGGGACTCAGTAGTTATCTTTTCCAGCTGTAGGTATCAAAACCCCAAATTCGGAGGTTAGGGTTCGGGTTCAGGGGTTTAGGCTCCTTATAACTCTGCTTCTCCAAGCAGGCCAAGAAGCCACCACGTCCCGGCCAGCGTACTGCGCCGGGCACTCGAGCGGATCCCCACCCGCAAACACCGAAGTGCTCGACCTGCCAAGGGCATTCCTAGAGAGTCCAACATCTAATGACCTGAATAATTTGAATAGGGTCTTGCAGTATATTAAAGTATATCGCTACGAAACAGCAAGGGTTTGGGGTTGAGGGTTTAGGGTTTATGATGCAACCCTGTTAACGGCTTCAGGTTTGAAGGTTTTCAGTCGTCGGGCGTGTGGCCTTCTTTTGTTGAGGAGGGCGGTGTGTGGTGGGGGGTTATGAGGTTTATGGTTTTAGCATAGATTTGTAGGGCTTAGGGTTCAGGGTCCCAGGTTAGGGTCCCGATCAACATGTACAGCTTGGCATGTTGGGGCTCGGGTGGAGGAGGGCCGAAGCTGAGGGTTCGAGGGACTCAAGCATCTTCTCAAAGCCCCAGGGTTTAGGGTTTTGGGTCTTGGGGCCCATGATACTATCATAGTAAGGAACCCCCAAAATAGTATTAAGTAGTTATTTAGGCATAGTAACCCTGAGCCCTCAACCCCTGAAGCTTGACACCCTCCATACCCTAAACCTTCAAACCCTGAACCCGCAGACCCGAGCCCAAACCCCGAAACCCTTAAACCCAAAACCCTTCTCCTCCATACCGGGGCGGCCCCGAAGCCCAAAGAAGCAGACCCCTCAAACCAGGTTTAGAGTCTGGGGTTGGTTTGTCCATGTATCCAGGGTCCTAGAGCCGCGGTTTAGGGTTTAGGGTTTAGGGTTTAGGGTCTAGGGTTTACGGTTTAGGGTTTAGGGTTTAGGGTCTAGGGTTTACGGTTTAGGGTTTAGGGTTGTTGGGGTTGTTGGGGTCTGTCTTGGCGTGCTCAACAAAGCCCAAGCTTTGCCTACAGGATGGATCGGAGGGAGGTTCATGGCCTAGGTTTTGGGAACCATGTTTTAGATACGGTTTAGGGTTTAGGGTTTAGGGATTAGGATTTAGGGGTTTAGGGTTTAGGGTTTAGGGTTTAGGGTTTAGGGGTTTAGGGTTTAGGGTTGAGGGTTTCGCCAGATATTAAACCACAGGTAGCCCCTGTTACGACGTCCGTGATCCTCGAAGCAAGCCGTCAGACGTAGACCCATTCATACTTAGACAATTATTGTACAAAGTACCCTCGCCAGCTTTGTGGAAGCTTCTGCATAAAACACGACCCAGGACAGCATAAAACCTCACAAACAGAGTAGCGAGTTCAGAAAGCAGCACACGAGCGCCTAAAGAACCTTGAAGTAAACCCCCATCACCCAAGCCCTAAACCCTGTCCCCAGAATCAAACACCTTGCAAGAAGCCCGCGTGGAGCTTTGGGATCCCGTAAAGCATAATCTAGGGGCCTTTGTGATTAGAATAGGGTTTTGGGGGGCCTTTATACTATAAGTAGAATCAGGAGCCCCCAAAATAATACAAGTAATTGTTGAGGCCTCTAGATTAATCTAGTTATATGTGGGGACCTATGGAGATATGAATACCAAATCCTCTAAACCCTGATTTTAAGTGCCCTTCGAACCATAAGCAAAATAGCGTAGGGGCCTTAATAGGACTTTGGGGGTTCCTTCTTCTACTTACAGTATAGTATACTCCCAAACCCTACTCTACCTATTAAGGCCCCTATAGTAATAGCTTTGAGGATTTTATGGAGTTCTGTTATAGCGGAAATGAAAAATCCTAAGCGCATGAAAAGTGCGGTAAGGGGCTTCAAGGGACCCTTGTTACACGAAGGCATGATCCTGATTAGGGTTTGGGCTTTATATACTATATACTTCGTTGCCTCTGAATCTTGAACCCAATCCCGACTTCAGTGTTGCAATTTTCACACCGATGCTGGGCACGGAGAGACTCAAAAACGTATTAACACCTCCAAACTGCCAGGGAGGCTGTGAGGCGGTGAGGGATCTGGTGCGACGCTCAACTGGAGCTGCACATGCCCCAGGTCACCACCGAACCATCAGCCCGGATCGCAGAAAAGATTCCGAAAGAAGCCTGGATGTGCTTCACGTTGTGCAGCTGATCCTGCACCGCGCTGCTGTCGCCTCCAGATTCAGCCTTGCCCCAAGTCACCACTGATCCGTCAGCCCGGATGGCAGCAAAAGCTGCCTCAGATGCTTGGATGTGCTGCACATGTTGCAGCTGACCCTTCACCGTGCTGCTGTCACCTCCAGATTCGGCATTGCCCCAGGTTACAACCGAACCGTCAGCGCGAATCGCGGCAAAGGCTTCCTCAGAAGCTTGGATGTGCCTCACATGTCGCAGCCGATCCTGCACCACAGTGCTGTCGCCACCAAAATCACTATCGCCCCAGGTCACCACCGATCCATCAGCTAGGATTGCGGCAAAAGCTAACAAGGAAGCTTGGATGTACTGCACGTCTCGCAGCCGATCCTGCACTGCAGTGCTGTCGCCACCAAAATCAGAAGCTCCCCAGGTCGCTACCGAGCCATCGACCCGGATCGCAGCAAAGGTTACCTGAGAGGCTTGGATGCACTGCACATTTCGCAGTTGATCCTGCACCGCAGTGCTGTCGCCACCGCTATGTGGAGAGCCCCAGGTCACCACCGATCCATCAGCTCGGATCGCTGCAAAGGCTCTGGCAGAAGAATGGATGTGCAAAATGTGTTGCAGCCGATCCTGCACGGCAGTGCTGTCGCCAGCATGTCGAGCATGGCCCCAGGTCACCACTGATCTGTCAGCCCTGATGGCAGCAAAGGCTCCGTCAGAAGCTTGGATGGACTGAACATTTTGCAGGCGATCCTGCACCGCAGTGCTGTCGCCACCCCATAACGGAGCGTCCCAGGTCACGACTGATCCGTCAGCCCGGATCGCAGCAAAAGCTGCCTCGGATGCTTGGATGTGCTGCACATGTTGCAGCTGATCCTGCACCGCCCTGCTGTCGCCTCCAGATCTAGCGTCGCCCCAGGTCACGACCGAACCATCAGCCAGGATCGCAGCAAAGGCTCCAGAAGAAGCTTGGATGTGCCTCACATTTCGCAGCCGATCCTGCACCTCCCTATGGTCACCACCGAATTCGACGTATCCACAAGCCACCACCGAACCATCTCCCAGGATTGCAGCGCATGCAGAGCCACGCTCCTCAGGAGGACGACTCTGGTTCCTGGAGATTGCAACTTGAGTCTCACTTAACTTCACGAGGGTCAGCACATCACCACCATTTAGCCTTGATCTTTTCACAGTGGCAGCTCCATCCAAAGTCTCACCGGATCCAGTGATTAGGATACCCTTGTCAACTCCCAGAGCACTCTGAGCACGTTGGCTCACTTTCTGAACAGTCTCATCTTCTTGTGCTTCCAAGCACACTGCCCTCCCACTTAGTAGCTGCAAGTTAAGCAAGATCGGCATTCCTCCAGTTCAGCTTCTATGGTGGTTGGGCTCTCCGTTGGAAGCCTCCAGCTTGAGCCCTGGACTCCTAGACCCGTCACAACACCCTTAAACAAGAGGGTTTAGGGTTTAGGGTTTAGGGTTTAGGGTTTAGGGAACCCTCATAAAAGCTACCAAGACCCTTGTAAACAACCCTGAAACCAAAATAAAGAAAATCGCGCAGCTCCCTCTTATTAACAACCCCCGGGATTTCGAGACAAGGACTTAGCATCTCAGGGTAATGTAGGGGCCTTAATAATTAGAAGAGGGTTTGGGGGCATATCATACTGTAGCTATAATACGGAACCTCCAAAATAGTGTAGGTAATTATTCAGGCCCCTATATTACCCCTTCCAGTAAAATATGAGTCGCCCGTTTCCCCGAAAAAGGAGACGCGAAGGTCAGAGAACTCAGGTCTTATGGTTCGAAATTCCTATGACAGGAAGGTTTTTTTGTTTAAGCGCCTCTTTTCCTATCTGCCCAAGCCTCCAGCAAAGCCCATTCAGGCAGGCATGTAACCCTACACCCTAAACCCTAAACCGTAAGCCCCTGGGGCTTCGGTTTAGGGTTTGGGGCCGTAAACCCTAAACCCTAAATACACGAGCCTAAGCCAAAAACCCCTAAAGGTCGCAAAGTTCAGTTGCGCTCTGGGCTGGGCCCTGAACCCTAAACCCCGCACAAACCCTAAACCCTGCAGAGTTTAGGGTGTAGGGTTTAGGGCTTAGGGTCTAGACCCGAAACCCCGAAACCGAAACCCGAACCCCTAGGGTGTAGGGCTTAGGGCCTAAACCCTAAACCCTTAGACCCTAAACCCTTAGACCTAAACGTTAAAACCCGAAACTCAGGAGAAACGACCCCTCGGACCTCCGCGCCGTGTTGGCCGCAGCCTGGGGCTCCCGGTAATACCACGCGCCGCCTGCTTTAAGGTTTAGGGTTTAGGGTTTGGGGTTTAAGGTTTAGGGTTTAGGGTTTGGGGTTTAAGGTTTAGGGTTTAGGGTTTAGGCAGGATTTTTAACCATTCTAAAGGGGTTCCTTTAAAGGAGTCACTACCAGAGGGATACTATAAGGGAGTTAGGGTTTAGGGTTTTGGGCTTGGGGGTTTTAGAGTTTAAGGCTTGGGGTTTCAGGGTTTGGGGTTTGCCGTGGACACTAGCTGCGAAAGGCTGTTTATAGAAGTCTTTGTTCTTCTTTCTCTCCCCGCCCCACGCCGTATACGGCGGCCAAGCCACCCAAGCCTATTCCTTTCAGGGTTTAAGCCTAAACGCATGCCATGGCGCAGAAGCAGGGCACGGCAGGGCAGAGCAAGGGGCGGAGGGCGGGCGGTCCAGAGATCCCAAATCCGGGTAATTCAGGAACTACTGCGAATCCTGCCAACGAGCCTCTGCTGTACAAAGTCAGCCTCCTATCTAAGAAGTGGGAGATGTAAACGAGAAGGTTTGGAAATTAAGGGCAGGGGTCTCCAGAGGGAAAAGCCTCATTGTCATTGGGCTCCCCTGAGATAAGGGCCTCAAACCTCAAACCCAAGACCCATACTCTAAATCTGCAAGAGCACAGGGGGCCTTTGCAGCTTCTGAAACCAAAGTGCCATCCGCGTATCAAATGTCAACGAATAACCCAAGCAAACGAAATACAGAAATCAGCCTTCGGGGTCGCAGAGGCCGAGTTGCGACTTTCACGGACAGTACGGGCATAGGGTTTGAGTTGCAGTGCTCAACGGCTCGGGGCAATTCGCACATCAGCTACAAGCCATAAGTGAGGCTACCGAGGACAACCAAATCCGGAAATTGTAGGCATGTTTGCCTCGTAATCAGGACAGCATGGTACCATGTACGATAACAGCCAAAACCCTTAATCCGTAAGTCTACGAGGCCCTAAATCGCATGCTAACCCGTATGGTAGCCCTTGTAACCCCTGTAGCAGCCCTTATCACAACCTTCTGGTAGCCCTTATACAAACCCTTGTGGCAACCCTTGCAGTATCCTTACAGAACTCTCAAAAATTGGGGGTTTCCGAAAATAGAGGACCCTAATATAGTACCCTAAATAGTACCGTTATTTTCGGAGAGTCCCAAATAGCACTTATTCTACTACCCCCTGTAGAAACCTATGAACCCCAACTCAGTTGCTGAGTTCACCAGCCCCAAAAAAATGAAAACTTTCAGTTCTAAAGGGGCTTCCCCAAAAAGTGTGAAGTGCACTCATGCAGCCCCTAAGCCCTAAACCCTAAACCCCTAAATCCCAAGCCCTAAACCCTAAACCCCTAAATCCCAAGCCCTAAACCCTAAACCCCTTCACCCAAAGCCCTAAGCCCTAAGCCAACAAAACGCAGCTTTGTTCCTCGCCCCGGGCCTCCGGTGGACACGAGAGCCTCGGTCAGAGGCCGCTCCTCCGGAAGGCGGAAACCCTAAATATAGGGTTTAGGGTTTAGGGTTTAGGGTTTAGGGTTTAGGGGCCACAATAAATAGAATAGGATTTTGGGGTCCTTTGTCGGGGGATATTTATATTATTAGGGAACCCCCAAAATAGTTTAGGTAATAGGCCCCTGTATTAAATCGGGCTGCATGGTGTTTAGAGCTTTCGAGGTCTATGAAGTTGAGGGTTGAGGATGTCCTGGCTTGTGAGTTATGGGCTTGTGAGCTTAGGGCTTGGCGTTTAGAAAGTTTAGAAGTTGAGGGGTGTTGTTGCTGAGGGGGTTTATGGCTTTAGGGTTCTAAGGCTCATGGACCTAAACCCGAAACCCTAAACCCTTTATGGGTCATGCGTGTCGGGCTCAGGGTTCCTCTATGGGGGACTTCTGATACAGAGCACGCAGCCCGGACTCTTCCGATGATATAGAGAATTGCCTAAACCCTAAACCCTAAACCGTGAAGCAACACCTAAGCACACCCATAAGCCTGCAAGACTAGTCAGACAAAGCCCTGCACTGTAGAATTGCACACCCCTAAACCCTAAACCCCGAAAACCTTAAACCCTTAACCCTTATAACCCTAAACCCAAACCCTAAACCCTAAACCCTAAACCCGAAACTCTAAACCCGAAACTCTGAACCCTTAACC